GGGGCCGACGAGGGGCCGAAGTGGGGCCTAGGCGGGCCGGCGGGGCCTAAGCGGGGCCAACGCGGGGCCGACGGGGCCTAAGCAGGGCCAACGCGGGGCCGACGGGGTCTAGGCGGGGCCGACGCGGGGCCAAAGCGGGGCCTAAGCGGGGCCGACGGGCCTAAGCGGGGCTACGCGGGGCCGACGTGGGGCCTAAGCGGGGCCGACGGGGGGTTACGCGGGGCCGACGTGGGGCCTAGGCGGGGCCGACGAGGAGCCGACGGGGTCTAGGTGGGGCCGACGCGGGGCCTAAGTGGGGTCGACGGGGGCTACGCGGGGCCGACGAGGGGCCTAGGCGGGGCCGACGAGGGGCCTAAGCGGGAGCACGACGGGGAGGGCGACACGGAGGGTCGCTAAAAAAAATGCGCGCCTCGGGGCGCGCTTCGGTGGGCCCTAGGAACAGGCCCTAAGAAGGGACCTGCTCTGATACCATGAGAAAGTGTGAACGAGAATGAATGACTATGAAGTGAAGTGAATACAAATAGGAAACCCTAATTGTGTTGTACCCCCTATGGGATACCCCACTATAGCCTACAGAAACAAGTGAGCTATATGTTCTGACAGTCGCATCCGTTTCCGAGCGGGTTTTATTTTTGAAGGTCGGGTAAAGTGATGTGTCTCCAAAATTCATACACGATGAGGAAAACGGTGCGAGCTTCGTGTGAGAAAAGCATTAAAACAAAACGTCGAGAGTTTGATACTTTCCTTAAAACCCCGGTTTGGGTTATCGGCCCAGCCACATGGGCAGCTCCGGGGACGAATCGAACGTTTGGGATTTACTCGGCCCTAATTTGGACACCCCCCGGCTATTTTCCGGCCCCAGTTTGATCTTATTCGCGGCAACGGCGCGTATCGTGGTGTGCTCTCTTGTCCCACGAGTCCGATGTCCCAAGCCTCTATTGTTGCCGTAGGACCTTGGTCTCGGTCCGATAGCGAGTATCTCGTTGAATTCCGTGACGTTGCGAAGCATGATTTCTTAAGCGATCTCATTTTTCAGGCCGCCGACATAGCGCTTGATGCGCGTTCGCTCGAGCGTGTATCCCACCTGCTCACACAACGCTAGAAACTCGTTGGTGTTGTCCTGGACGGAATGGCTAAGTGTGGAGCTTCTGATTCGCCGCGATCACAGCCGCGAATGGCTCGAATCTCGTGCGCAGACCTGCGCACCATGCATCCCACGAGCGATATTGGGCTACCTCCACGAAATACGCCGGTGCCCAGGGTCCGGTTTGTCCTTCCCGTGACGGTAGAGTCTCGTAGTCCGTCGGCTTTGTGACGATGATGCGCCACCAGTCCATGGCGGGTCCTCGTAGCATTGACACGGCGTATCGAATCTATGCCGAGTCCATCGAGACGTAGTTGGCGTTAAAGAAGACGTTTATCGTGAACAACTACGCCTGAACAGTTGGACCACCCAGTTGGCTCGGATCAGAACAAGGCGGACGCTACGGCTTGAGCGGCATCGGCGATGGCCGAAATCGTTGTTCGGTACCGAAATCGTGACACGTGGCTGACTCCTAGCCGCATTCGTCGGTCTGGCGTGTGTCACGCCGTGGTCGTCGTCTCAGTCGTTGCGGGTGACGCCATCACTAGCCTTGCTCAAGGGTTGCCCCACACTTCCGTGTCGTTCTTGTGTGCCTTATGTTTGTGATTGTGCTTGTTGCGCCCGTGCGGCGTCGTTTTGCAGCGACGTACGCTCTGCCGTCAGCCCCGCAATCTCTTCGGAACTTTCGTGCAGTTGTTGCAGCAGTTGGTTCAGGTGCTCCAGCGTGAGTGTCGTGACATCGACGTGTTCGGCCACTTCGAAGGACGGCGGCTCAACTTAGCTCTAGGCGCAGTTGTAGCTGCACGCAGTTACGAGAGACGCGACGACAACGGCTCCTAGGTGCTAATGGGCGTGAGTCCCTTAGGGCGCAAAACCAAAAGTTGATTTCTCTGGGTGCGGAGATGCACGGTCCGAAAAGAAAGTGGTTATGATACCAAGTGTTACGGATGCAATGGAACAAGAAGTAGCGAGGATTCCACTAGGTTGTCAAACTAGTACAAAGTATGAGCGAAGGCATGAGCGAATACTTATACGCAGGGCCTCAGAAGTCAGCGAAAAAAAAGCTGATTTAGGTAAAAAGGGCTGAGATTTCAGACCTTTTTTAGAACTGAGGCTGATTTTTCAGCAATCTGGTGTGAAGAAACAGGAAATTTTACTAGATTTGTAGTGTAAAATGGCATAAAATGGCTGATTTGTCTGATTTTCAGCAAAACGTGCTGTACCAACTCTGTTTTTCCAGCCTAGCCTAAACCGAATCTGAGGCCCTGCTTTTACGCGAAACATGCAAATGGTACCGCGGTGCGTGCGAGCTAGCTAGTGCTAGGCTGGCATCGAGGTTCGGGCTAGTTCCGAGGCGTAGGCCGACTCGGCCAGACCAGCGGTGCATGGTTTGGTGAAACAGTGTGCGCGAATGTTGGCGAAGCCCCATTAGCAGTAACGGACGAACAACAGGTGCTGCTGTACGCGAGATGTTGAAGAACGCAGTAAGGAATGCCGAAAAAGGCCTTCCAACACTTTGTGGTGTGTGGGTAAACACCCCTATCACTCTGTTCCACATCTTCGTTTTCACAATACGAACGTTTAGAAATTTTATTACACTTTCAGATTTTATGATATTTTGGCACGCCAAACCCCACATGACAAGCGAGTTTTTGGTTTATTACAAGCCACAACCTATTGTTGAACAAGCTGTTACTCTACATGATATAGGAATGCTCGTTCTTTCATTGCTACAGAGGCATCCTCAGTCGAATTTAGGCATGTTATAACCCCACATGACGAGCGACTTGTTGGGTTTATTGAGCCACAATCTGTGATTGAAAATGTCCATGTCATCTGCTGTCTCGCCCCCACATCTTGTCGACGCTGCTAAGAGGACATCAGCATAAGAGCACACAAGCTTGTCAAGGATTGCCAAAACACCTGTGAGAGGGATCAAACAGCAATGAAGGCGGGTAAAGGAGGAAGATGGGTACTCCTTCAGGAACAGCTACAGCACTAACATGCGGGCACACAAGCTTGTAAAGAATTGCCACCACACAGGGATTGAACCCAGGAAAGAAGGGAAAGATAAGTAGCATCAAGTGTGGATAAGTGGGGTTAAGTAGTGTTGAGTGGGGATGAGTGGGGACGAGTGGAGATGAGTGGAAACGAGTGGGGATGAGTGGAGTTCAGTGGGTATGAGTGGGGATGAGTAAGAGGGGATGAGTGGGGATGAGTAAGGATGGAGGGGATGAGTAGGGATGAGTGAGGATTTTTTAGAAAAAACATCGTCCTACTTTTCCAACTCACCGGGATCAAATCTTGCGACCGCTGGCAGCAGCTCGTTGATTGTGACGGTGTCATTGATCTCCTCTCGCATCCCTGTCAGCTCCTTGAGTGCCACGTCAGCAACACCAGTGCCATTGCTGCGTCGGCTCTCATTTCTCCCGTTGCTCTCATTGCTCCCGTTGCTCTCATTGCCCTGTTTGCTCTGGATGGCAAACTGCTGATCCAAATCTTTCCAACGTGCTGTCTCTCCTTCTGCTACAGACGATACAGATGCTACTGCTGCTGCAGCTTCTGAGACCCCTGCATCCAATACGCTTGCTCCTCTCCCTTCTTCTCCTTGCCCTCCCTCTCTCCGCCCTCTGCCCACCCTGCTCTTCGTCAATACATCAGCAGCAACGAACACGGTTCTAACCGATACCCATCCCCGAACCACACTTGCTTTAGCCACGGACGAGTTCGCACACCACTGCATCTGCTGCTCAAACTGCCGCCCCACCTGCTGCTGGTTCTCCAAGCCTGGCTGCTCCGAGCCTGGCTGTTCCGAGCCTGGCTGTTCCGAGCCTGGCTGTTCCGAGCCTGGCTGTCCCGAGGCTGGCTGTTCTGAGCCTTGCTGCTCCGAGCCTTCCTGCTGCCCTGCTGACGCGTTTGATCTTTGCTGCTCCGCTTCTCTTCTCTGCTTGGCATCACAGGGAGGTGAGGAGAGGGGGGGAGTGGTGAGGAGAGGTGGGGGGAAGTGATTGATTTTTTTTTGGGGCATTTTTAGATTGAATTGTAAGCTCCTTGTCGCTTCTCCCCTCTGCTTGCCATGACAGGGGAATGGGGAGAGGGAGGTGAAGGGGAGGGTGGAGGAGAGAAAGTGAATCTTCAAAGACTTATCCAACAGAGTGATACAGAGTGGGGTAAGGGGACAGCGGAAAGGGTTCTTTCACCTTTGTTTCCAGGACTTACCACTCTCGACGCCATCACGTCGGGTTGCAAGTGCACCACCATCACAGTCTTATTCAGAGTACCGTTAAGGCTTTGTGGTAAGTACATGCAGCTGCCTGTTATGTGTTATGGTAAGCAGGTGCATCCCCTTTTCCTCCCGTGTGCTACCTCTTTTCCCTCTTTTCCCTCTTTTCCCCTCTTTCCCCTATGTCCCGTCTCCCCCCTTGTTCCCCTTTCTTACATTGTCCCCCTCCCCCTCATTCCCCCTATTCCATCCCCCCCCTTCCCCCCTATACACCCAACTCACCACTCTCCACGCGATCACATTGGGTTGCAAGCGCACGGCCATCACACTCTTATTCAGAGTACCGAGCAGGCTTGTAGCGAGTACATGCAGGTTCCTGTTGTGGTACACAGGTAACAGATTCCCATTTCCTCCCTTACTTGTGCTCCCGCTCTCCCAATTTTTTTCCCTTTTCCACTCTCTCCCCTATTCCATCCCTCCCCTTCCCCCCTATACACCCAACTCACCACTCTCCAAGCAATCACGTCAGGTTGCAAGCGCACGGCCATCACACTCTTATTAAGAGTACCGAGCAGGCTTGTAGCGAGTACATGCAGCTGCCTGCTATAGGGCAGAGAGGCCAAGGCGAGGCTGCCTGTGGGCGGGTCGAACTCGATCATGCCTGCTGCTGCCTTCACCCACACCACCACGTCTTTATCTTGCCTGTGCAATTAAGGGGGGGAATGAGACATGGGACATGGGACATGAGAAAGCAAGAGATGAGGAGTGGGACGAGTTCAATGTGAAGCTGCCTGTGGTGGGCGGGTCGAACTCGACCATGCCTGCTGCTGCCTTCACCCACACCACCACGTCCTTTTCCTGCCTGTGAGGGTCAGAGCGTGCAACAGAGGGGGATCGGGGAATCAGTTTTGATGTGACACTGTAACAAGGTGACAATAGCACTACAGGTTTGGAAGGTGCCTATGGATTACCACACTTGCGCTACAGGTTTGGGAGGTGCCTTTGGGTTACCATACCTCCACTGAACAGAATTTTCTCAGATTTATCAGACCTGCAAAACAGCAGGCTCGGACTCGCCAGGCCTGCATCAGCACGTGTATGGCATCTGCTTGCACTGGGAGGTTCAGGTCAAGCGGTGTCGTTCAGCTTCCCTGGCAGCACGTACTGTAGGCTCGGACTCACCAGGCCTCCATAAGTGTTGCACAGGATCGGCTCGCACTGGGAGGTGCAGGTAAAACAATGTCCTTCAGCTTCCCTTACAGCATATACATTCGGCTCGGACTCACCAGGCTTACAAAGGAGGCTCGGACTCACCAGGCCTTCAAAGGAAGCTCGGACTCACCAGGCCTGCATGAGCACTTGCACGGCATCGGCTCGCACTGGGAGGCGCAGGTCGAGCGTGTTGGAGGGGAGAGGCACGTGCCCCATGGCGTATGGCAGTAGATGGCCCATTATGGCTGATAGGGGCTCTGGTGGGAACAGAGAGGGGGGGAAAGGCGGAAGGGAGGGAATGAGGATGGGGTGAGGAGGTGCAGGTCAAGCGTGTTGGAGGGGAGAGGTATGTGGCCCATGGCGTATGGCAGTAGACGGCTGATAGGGGCTCTGATGGGAACAGCAATTGAGACGAGAGATGGAGGGTGACGGACCATTTAGGGCAGAAGAGTGAAGAAAATGAAGGGAGGGGGTTAGGGCGTGCGTATGAGAGAGGGGAGCACACGTAAGCAGCCTCACGATCCCCAAGAGGTGCAAGGGAGGAGGAAGGAGTGGAATGCCCGGGGAGGAGGGGAGAGGAGAGAGGCAAAGGGAGAAGAGGTAGAGCGTGCAAGTTGAGAGTGAAGACAAGAGGAAAGGCAGTCAGTGACGGTAAAGGAAGGGGGTTCACTGCAGGTGCCGTGACTTGCACCCACGCACAGACCACGTGGTGGTTCCTCAGCCCAGCGATCCCTGGGGGCCAACATACAGGTCGATACCAGGGAAGGGAACTCTCTCTCACCACAGATGAAGCAGGTGAATACAAGCCAAGCCAAGCCAAGCCAAGCCAAGCCAAGCCAAGCCAAGCCAAGGCTCTCACTCACCATGGAGAAAGGGGGCTTGCTGGGCGACTTTTGAGTCGACTCAAAAGTCACCTCGATACAAGCCAAGGCAAGGCAAGGCAAGGCAAGGCAAGCCAAGGCAAGGCAAGGCACTCACCATGGCAAAAGGGGACTTGCTGGGCGTGCCGCGACTGCACCCACACGAAGCCCACCGCGGGGCTTCTCAGCCCAGCAACGCCCGAAATATCTGAACTGGAATCCGAGCCACTGGTATCAGAGCCGTTGCTTGGGGGAGAGGCAGCAGCAGCAGCAGCAGCACGGGCGAGCAGCAGGAAGAGGTCCGGCGACATCCAAGCCACGTGGGGCAGGCTCGGCAGCTGTTTGGGCGACTGAGAGGCTTGGGAGGCATTGGAATGGTTCTTCTCGAGGCTGTCTTTGATGCTGGGGACGGCATTGACCTTAGGCGCGGCGGCGTGGGAGAGATTGAAGAGGTCCCAGTAGGCGCAGAGGGGCAGTGGATGGGCGAGAGAGACATGGCTGTCGCCCACCTGCAGGAAAATGGTGAAAACGATGGGGAGAGCGGGAAGGGATTGGGGCAGGGAAAGTGGTCATGTGAGGTGAGGGCGTGGCGGCCTTGGAGAGGTTGAAGAGGTGCCAGTAGGCGCAGAGGGGCAGCGGATGGGCGAGAGAGAGACAGACATGGCTGTTGGCACGACAGCCACTTGGCAGGCGTAGCAGTAAAGCACGACAGCCACTTGGCAGGCGTAGCAGTAAAGCACGACAGCCACTTGGCAGGCGTAGCAGTAAAGCACGACAGCCACTTGGCAGGCGTAGCAGTAAAGCACGACAGCCACTTGGCAGGCGTAGCAGTAAAGCACGACAGCCACTTGGCAGGCGTAGCAGTAAAGCACGACAGCCACTTGGCAGGCGTAGCAGTAAAGCACGACAGCCACTTGGCAGGCGTAGCAGTAAAGCACGACAGCCACTTGGCAGGCGTAGCAGTAAAGCACGACAGCCACTTGGCAGGCGTAGCAGTAAAGCACGACAGCCACTTGGCAGGCGTAGCAGTAAAGCACGACAGCCACTTGGCAGGCGTAGCAGTAAAGCACGACAGCCACTTGGCAGGCGTAGCAGTAAAGCACGACAGCCACTTGGCAGGCGTAGCAGTAAAGCACGACAGCCACTTGGCAGGCGTAGCAGTAAAGCACGACAGCCACTTGGCAGGCGTAGCAGTAAAGCACGACAGCCACTTGGCAGGCGTAGCAGTAAAGCACGACAGCCACTTGGCAGGCGTAGCAGTAAAGCACGACAGCCACTTGGCAGGCGTAGCAGTAAAGCACGACAGCCACTTGGCAGGCGTAGCAGTAAAGCACGACAGCCACTTGGCAGGCGTAGCAGTAAAGCACGACAGCCACTTGGCAGGCGTAGCAGTAAAGCACGACAGCCACTTGGCAGGCGTAGCAGTAAAGCACGACAGCCACTTGGCAGGCGTAGCAGTAAAGCACGACAGCCACTTGGCAGGCGTAGCAGTAAAGCACGACAGCCTGGGAGGAGAGGAGGGGTGCCAGTAGGCCCGGATGGGGGAGGATATTTCGATTTGGGGGGTGGACGAGAGGCAAGGAAATCTTAAAGCGGACGAGATTTGGCGGAGGGATAAAAATTGGTGTCTCATGATCAGGAAGAGGGAAGTTAGAGAAGCATGGTGAAGGGAACGGGGCTTAGGGAAGGGAAAAAGGCAACGGAGGTGGCGCATTTCTGACTTTTGAGTCGACACAAGTCACCAAGGGCAACGGAGGTGGCGCATTTCCGGTTTATTTTGGTGTGTGTGCATTGCAGCATGGGTGCGTGCATGTGGCAGCTATCTCACCTTGGGCAGAACCAGAATGCGGCCGGACATGTGGGCTATCCTCGCTGCCTCCACCACATCCATCCGCGCGAGGGTGGTTGGCTTGCCTGAGAAGCCAAGCACCAGGAAGCGAGGGCGGGTGACAGACTGTAGCACAGGGGACACAGATGGGGGGAAACGGGTGAGAATGAGGGAAAGGTGGGTGGTACGGTCGAGGGTGGGTGGTTGGTTTGCCTGAGAAGCCAAGCACCAGGCAGCGAGGGCGAGAGGGGCTCTGCTGTGGGTTGGTTGGTTGGGATCAGGGGAAGGAAGATGGGCAGGGGATATTAGGCACATCAGCAGCCTGGCTTGGGTGGTGTGCGAGACTGCGAAGTCAAAGACCCGAAGGCGAGGGCGAGAGTGGCTCTGCTGTGCGGGGAACAGGGGTGGGGGAAATGGGGGGAGAGAGGAAAGAGGGAAAGGTGGGTGGTACAGGCGAGGGTGAGTAGCTTGCTTGCCTGAGAAGCCAAACACCAGGGAGGGGCGAGAGGGGCTCTGCCGTGGGTTGGGGGCAGGGGTGGGGTGGGGCGAGAAGGGTGGGGGTAGAGGGAAAGGTGGTTGGTGTGGTACAGGCGAGCGTGGGTGGTGTGCAGGTCCGTGAAGAGTCGGCCTGTAGCAAACACAGGGAGCAGGGGTGGGGAAAATGGGAGGAGAGTGGAAAGAGGGAAAGGTGGGTGGACAATCGGACACATCAGCACGGACACATCAGCACGGACACATCAGCACGGACACATCAGCACGGACACATCAGTCGGAAAGAGCGTGCTGTGCATGGACGGTGTTCGAGGCGTTGAAGCCTAAGTCCAGGAAGCACGGGCGAGAGACGCTCTGCTGTGAGGGGAAGAGGGATGGAGGGAAAAGAGAGGGGGGGGAGAGAGAATCGTGGGTGGTACAGGCAAGCGCTGTTATGTTATATTTGAGCCTGTTAATAGCACGGGAAAGCCTGAGAATCCCAGCACCAGGAAGTGAGGCAAGTGGCGCTCTGTGATGGGTTGGTGGTGTGAGGGTGTGGAGGTGTGGTGGTGTGGGGATGGCGAGCGAGGTTCTGAGACAGCAGAGGAGCATGCATGCTGAGCGCGTCAGTGAATCCCAGCACCAGTTTTGAGAATTCTCAAAAGTGAGTCCGTGAATCCCAGCACCAGGAAAGAAACAGGGTGCTTCTGAGAATTCTCAAAAGACATCCCAAGCACCAGGAGAAGAGAGTGCGAGAGGCGCTCTGCATGGGTTGGGTTGGGGCAGAGGAGGGAGGGAAGAACGGAACAGCAGGTCACACGCATGGGACGCGCATGGGTGGTGTGCTAGCGGTGGATAGGCGAGGAAGAATCAGCAGAAAGCGAGGGCGAGCGACGCTCTGCAGTGAATAAGGCAGGGGTGGGGTGGGGTGGAGGTATGGCTAGGAAGGAGGAGGGTTGCGGACAGGCCAGCCCAGTTGCGGAGAGTCAAGTCGAACGTGGCAGTTCTTCTGTCGAACAAGGTCGTTTTCTCTGCTTGGCAGAGAGTGCTGCCCAAAGGCAGGAAGCGAGGGCGAGAGGCGCTCTACAATGGTTAGGGTTGGAAGCAAGGCACGAGTGGGGTGGCCCGGGTGGGGTGGAGGTATCGCTAGGAGGGTTGCGGACAGGCCAGCAGCCGAACATGGGATGGGCAGTCTGCTCTGTTTGGCTGAGAATGACGCCCAAAGGCAGGAAGCGAGGGCGAGAGGCGCTCTGCAATGGGCTGGGGGCAGTGGTGAGGTGGAATTATGGCTAGGGGGGTTCATACAGGCCAGCAGCCGAACATGGGATGGGTGGTCTGCTCTGCCTCTGCTCTGCTTGGCAGTGAGTGGAACCCAAAGACAGGAAGCGAGGGCGAGAGCACTCACGTACGTGTGAGAGGGAGAGAGGCACTCCTAGACTGGTCACGGTGGTGGGGGTGGGAAGCAGGACACACTTGTGTCTGACAGGGAGAGAGGCGGGGGGGCAGCAGCACTCACGTACGTGTGAGAGGGAAAGAGGCACCCCGGGAACCGGCCAGCAGCTTTCAGGCCACTGCTTGCAGTTCTCTTGGCTCCCGCCACTCCCACCATCCCCACCCGCCCCGCCACTCCCGCCACTTCCGCCATTCCCACCACTCCCACCACTCTTATCGTCTGCAACACTCCCGTCGCCCCCGTGACAGCCGTCCGCCTGCCCTCCCCCCACCAGACGCCTCTCCACCTCCTTCACCCCCCCACACACTTCGTCTATACCCGCCTCAATGCCCTCTATTCCCGTCAGATTCGCCGCTACAGCCGCTCCGGCGCTTTGAGGCGTCTCTACACACACCGCTACAGCCGCTCCCACGTTCTGATTCGTCCCTGGATTTGCCGCTACAGCCGCTCGGATGTAGCTGCTGCCGGCAGCGCGTGCCAGCACACCACGTTTCCAACCCTCCGAACACACCTGCCCCACCGAACCTGCCTGCTGCTCTGCCACCTCAGCCTCGGTCAGAGGCTCGGTGCTGTTCTTGATTGGTTCGGTGGGTGGCTCGGTGTTGTTGCTAATACTAGCCGCCGTGGGTGGTTCGGTGGTGTTGTTAGCCTCGGATTTAAGCTTCGTTAGTGGCACCTTATCCTCCTCCCCCTCCTGCTCCTCCTCCCCCTCCTGCTCCGCCTTCTCCGCCTGCTCCGCCTGTTCCTCCTTCTCCCCCTTCTCCGCCTGCCCCCCCTGCTCCCCCATCTCCCCCTTCTCCGCCCCCCCCTGCTCCCCCTGCTCCCCACCCGCCCCCTGCGCCACCTGCTCCGCCTGCTGAGCGCGAAGGGCCAGCTGTCGAAAGGCCTCGAGGAGGCGTGTTCGACACGCGTCTAATTCCGCCGCACTTGCGCCCCCGGAAGACCGTGACCGACCTGCTGCCGCGCTGCTACCAGCAGATATCGTCGTGGCGTTTGAGTCCGCGAAAGTTTTGTTACCGAAATCAGGAAAGCTGTTGTCGGCCCTTTCGCGAAAGAGGCGGAGGCATGAATCGGAAATGCCGAGGAGGCTTATAACGGGAACGTCGCCGTGAGATGAACCTCCAAACGGAGGAGTACCAGAGCCACGGGGAGTAGCGCCGGTGATAGGAACACTACTAGTGCTGCTGCTGCTACTACGAAAAGAAGGACCGCTGCTGCTTCTACTGTCGTCAACTAGCGCGCTCGGGGCTGCTTCGTTATGGGCTTCCTCGATAACAGCGATGTGCGGCAGGCGGAAGGAGACGGGGAACTCGAGGAAGAAGATGACGTGGCACGCGAGGAAGAGCGCGACGACGATGACGGCGGGCTTGTGAATGGCGGAGGAGAGGAACGAGGGGAGGCACGACGAAGGCAGGGACGAAGGGAGGGACGAGGGGAGGGACGAAGGCAGGCATGACGGCAGAGCTGAGACTGGGAGGGACCAAGGATGAAATGACGGGAGGAAGGAAGGCAGGATACTGGGAGGGTGGGAGTGAGGTCTCTTGGTGAGCGACGTCGTCTCGCCCGTCGCATGGGCCGCCCGTGCGACGGATTCACCGTCGCTCGCGTCCATTTAGCTGCGACGGAACGCCGGACGAGGCCAGTAAGCTAAAAGGCAAGCGACACTACAGTTCACCGACGGTCTAGCTGTTGAGTCGACTCAAAAGCACCATTCGATCGACGAAAAGCGGCACTACATTCCGACGGTCTGCGGCATTACAGAGCTCGACTGGTGCCTAGTTTGCTTTCACTACTCTCAAAAGCGACGATAAAGCGAGACGATAAAGAGGCACTACAAACTGACAGGAACCAGCACTCGGAGTCTCGGACCGACGAGTTTTGCGGCCTAGAATATGGTTGTGGAAGCTTGTCTGGTCTCTGGTTTGACATAGAATGCGAAATCTGCGTCGTGTCGGATCCCCACGACAGCAGGACCCTACAGCATAACTGTCAGTAAACGATCAGCATAACTAACATTCCCGTCCAGAAATCCCCATGTCGGAACAGAAGCGCGGGAAGATGAGTGCCTTGTAAGTTGTAGCCCACCTGTCTATTCTTGACGAGTCCTGTGCTGTGGAATGAATGGTGACTATTTGGCGCGTGCACTGCACTGCTGTCAGGAGCTGTCAGAGTGGGGTTGACAGACTCGGTATAGCATGAACGGTCAAAGGTATGAAGTAACTATGGGGCATTGGTGGGTTTTATGCTCCTTGATTCACCCACATTGGCGCCATTTTCTCCCCAAACATAAAAAGCGTTCTGAAATAATATCATGCAAGGGCTCTGAAAATTTACCTACAATTTGTAAGTTCTGTGTGTACTTTTGAGCAAGCAAACAAGGAGTGCACGTAATGCAGGTGGTTGTAAGTACAATGAATAACCGCACAAGCGAAAGAGAATGTTTGTCGAATTGTAGACATGTGTGACATGTTGGTTTTCGGCAAGACTGATTTGCTCTTTATTGAGTACCACTGTTCCCTATTTTTATCACCATCTTAGACATGTTCATACAACCCTTTATCAGGCCAACCATCAAGCTCACATCAAAACGCACTGAAAATTCCCTAAACCCAAAAACCCTCGCTACTTTTACTAGGCAAAGCTGACAAGAGGTTTGCCCGATAAGAGCGTAGGAACATGCCCTTACTAGTTCATCCACATTTCGTTGTTCACACCCTTGACATGGTAACAACGTATGTTTGTTCCTAAACTCTAGACCGCCTGCCTAACTGTGAGAATCCTAGCCACTAGACCATTGGGATAAAATGGCTTGTTCCAGTAACGGATCAGTGCGCCCATAACCCCCCATGCTAATTTGCATGTAACCCTTCTAGGATCAATTCGGAATCTCCAGTGATGGTCTTATGACACCCCCCTACACAGGGAGGCCCATGATACTGACAACACCATCGACAATATGTGCACACATTGGGATTCGAACCCGAGACCTTTGCTCTGATACCATGTGAGACTCCCAAACACTAGACCACTAGGATAAAATGACGCCCCGCCAGCCAGCCCGCGGGCTGGTGGCTCTCGTGCTGGTTGGCCGACATATCAATCGGGGATCCCCAGTGCCAGTCTCTGACACTACCTACCTTCCTAGACCATCCGTTGGCCAGCCAATCTGTCCCACCAGCCCTAGCAAGCCAATCAGTGCCAGCCAGCTCACCAGCCGCCAACCGCTAGCCCGCTAGCGTTCGTAACAAGCACCCCGTGCCACCAGCAAACAAGCCCCCGCTAGTAAACGCGCGCGCCAGCAGAGCGCACCGCTATCGTGCCCCCCGTTAGCGAAGCGTGCATACCAGCAACATGCGCCGCCTGTGTGCGCCCCACCAGCAATGCACACGCGTTATCAGCGCGCGCCACCAGCAAAGCGAGAGCGCCAGCAGCGCGCACCGCCTGCACACGCCCCGCCAGCCAGCTAGCGCGCCCTGCTAGCGCGCGCCTCGCCAACCAGCGCACACCCCTGCTAGCGCGCACCCCGCCAGCTGTCAAACATTATATATGTTCTGCTTGTTTAGGCTACAGTGGGTTAGCCTATAAGGGGTACACAATTCTAGGGTTAGGTACTTGTACTAATTTCACTGTTAGTTCAATCATTCCTGTTCATTGATTTCAACATGGTATAGAGCAGATTCTTCCTAGGACCGATTTTTTTAGGGCCCACCACTACCTACCTACCTACCTACCTACCTGCGCCCTAGGGCGCCTCGGTTTTCACGGCCCCTTAAGGCCCCGTCGGCCCGCCCCTAGAGGCCCCGAACGGCCCACGCGCTCGCCCCTAGCGGCCCCTTTCGGCCCCGCGATCGCCCCTAACGGCCCCATCGACCCCTCGCTTACCTCCCTAGAGGCCCCGTCGGCCCCGCGCTCACCTCCCTAGAGGCCCCGAACGGCCCCGCGCTTGCCCCTAGAGGCCCCAAACGGCCCCGCGCTTGCCCCTAGAGGCCCCTTACGGCCCCGCGCTTGCCCCTAGAGGCCCCGATCGGCCCCGTGCTCGCCCTTAGCGGCCCCTTACGGCCCCGCGCTCGTCCCTAAAGGCCCCGATCGGCCCCGCGCTCGCCCTTAGCAGCCCCTTACGGCCCCGCGCTCGCCCCTAAAGGCCCCGATCAGCCCCGCGCTCGCCCCTAGAGGTCCCGAACGGCCCCGCCCAGAACGAGCCGCCCGACGCGAGCAGCCCGAACCGAGCCGCCCGAACCGAGCCGCCTGACCCAAACCGAGCCGCGCCGCCCGATCCTAGCCGCGCCGCCCTACCTGAACCGAGCCGCGCCGCACGTACTGGACCGAGCCGCCCTGCCTGAGTCCCTACTACTGCTATTACTGCTACTACTAGTTTTACTCCTGCTACTGCTATGGCTAGCCCTCCAGTGCTAGCTTTCGATGCTGAGGGCCGTCCAGTGAAGTTCGAAACCTGGCTAGATGACCTACACCTCTTCCTACAGCTCACTGCCACGGAATACATCTCATTGTACGATCACGCCCCAGGCCATGCTACTGTTCCTGCTGCTACTGCTGACAGTACTGCTCGCTCACAGTGGCAGACTCGTGACGCCCACGCTCGCTTCACTATTCGCAACTCCCTGCCGATAGATGAGCGCGAGCACTTTGGGCAGCACAAGACTGCACATGCACTGTACACTGCTGACGTTGCCTGCTACTCCTCACCGGCCTCTGCCGCACTAGGCCGTCTCTCTCTTCCCTACCTGTTCCCCAACTTAGCCTTGTTCCACACAGTCGCTGACCTCATTACGCACCTCCGTACTAGTGAGGCCCGCTTCCGCGCCGCCACGCCTGATGAGTTCCTTGCCAAGAACCCACCCCCGCTCTGGCTCACTCTCTACCACCTAGTCTGTGAGAGTACGTCGGCTTATGCTTGTTATTCATGCTTGCTATTATTTCCTTACGCTATTCCTAGCTTAGGATTATTTTCTGCATGCATGAATTGCTTGATTTCCTAGGTTCGTTGCTATACTATAGTTATTATAGTTATAGGCACCGAACCAGGTTACGTGCACCGAACTCAAGCTATTCGGTCGCCACCGAATTGCTTTCTACCGAGTTCGGGAAGGTTCTGTTCGGGACGCTTCGCGACCCTCAGAACATTCGCGTAACATCTGGGTTACCTGCCTTGTGTCGAGCCTATATATTCTGCCTCATGTTGTACCCAGGTGATCATTCAATTCAAACTCTCTTTTTTGAGCTCGATCCTAGATCCTCACACTTGGTAATCAGAGCGGGTTTACACGCGAGGTCTTCAACCGCTTAGTTCCGGCCTTTAAAAACCGCGGGGGCGGCGACGAAAGCGCCGATACGGGTATGTAAAACCAGTTCCGCGCAATTTTTCGAAGTCCCCCTCGATTCGGTTTTCGAACACTCCTCAGATTTACTGGTGGAAAGGTTGGAGTTTCGACCGTTCGATCGAAGTTCATCTCAACGGCCCAAAGAATTTCGCCCAAAAAAGTTGGAATTTGGAGCGTCGGATCGATTTTCTCCTCAACGGCCGAGATCGGACGCGAATTTCGCCTAAGGGAGATTTACGCAACCTACAGAATTCGCGCTCGTCGATTCTACAGTCAATTTGACTCGCAGTAAGTCGACCAGCACCTAGAATTCGATTATTTTCGTCGCGCATCTTCCTCTAAATCACCAAATGGAGGGCCAAGGCGACAACTACGCGACTACGAGCGACATCGCGAGCCTCTGTACCGACATGGAGCAGACACAGGCGACGCTTCGTCGACTCGAGGCTTTTTTAACAAGCCACCCGGCGCTCGCCACGACAGTAGCAGCGATTGCAACCACTACAGCACCGACAATTCCAGCAGCAGTGGCGACACCGATATTTCATGGCCCAATGGCACCACCAACGCCGAACCTCGAAGCAGCATGACTGAGGCTCCCGGAAGCGTTCGATCCAAGCGCAAAGGGATCCGACGTCCGGCGTTTCGTGGCAATCCTCGAGATCTACTTCGAGGCCATTGGCTGTTCGACCCCGACATACGACACAACACGAATCCGGCTCGCAGCAACACTGTTACGCGGACCAGCACTCGAGTGGATCTACAACACTGACGTGGCCCGCGGGGAGAAAACGTGGCAGCAGTTTCGGGCAGAATTTATCGGGCGTTTCGAACCGGTTAATACTACCTATATGGCGCGGCAACAAATTCATCGGCACAAGCAGTACGGTAGTGTAGCGCAGTATACGCAGCAGATGGAGCTCTTGTTCACCCGCATCCCCGACCTGACCGAAAGCGAAAAAGGGTGACGATGTGGCGACTTCGGAGCGGGCGAAAAAAGGAGAAAATGATGGCGCGAATATAAAACGTCACAACCGGCCGGCATCAGGGGAAATCGCCGAGGCGACTGGTGGCTCCACGAAAAAAGACTCTGCACCGACCGGGAAACTCCAGCCGGACCCCCACGAAAGTAAGAAATCGTTAAAAGTATCCTATAAAGATACTCTAACGAAAAATATCGCTTCTCGTGGTTTTCAAGCCTTTGAAAAATTCAGGGGAGAACTAGAGGCCAAGAAAAAGCCTTTAGAAGTCATTCAGGTACCTGCAAATATGG